TGTGCGTGTCTGTGTGTCTTTGACTAGTGATGATTCTCAGGGCCTTGCACATACTAGATAAGAGCATTACCATTTAGATACTCTACTCTAATATATTGATCATAGTCTTCTTCTAGTACCACATCTTCATCAGTAATTGCAGATATGTATGCATATATCTTCCAAATACATAATATGGAATTTGCCTCCTTTTCTAAATCCAGTAAAATGTTGAAATTTTCAACTTGTATTGTAGTGGATAATATTTTGTATCTTGTATCAAAAGTTTACTATGAAGATAGTCTAAAATTTTAAGGTGTTTCTAAGCTAATAGTGGTCATTATATTTAATTACCATGTTATCAAATCAAGGATCACATTTTATTATTTCAAATAATTATGTAACAGTCTGTTGTGAAAGAGCTGACCAAATGTTATTCTTTAAAATAAAATGAAAACATAAAGTAACTTGCTATTTAAAAAAACTTTTAAGGAATGACTGAAGAGGTAGCTCAGCAGTTAAAAACGCCAGGGGAATCCAACACCCTTTTCTAACCTCTGCGGCATTGCACAACACAGCTGCACTCACATACATGCAGGCAGTACACGCATACACTTAAAATAAAATTACTAAATAAAAAGAAACTGGTATGGCATTACATGTGTTCAACCCAACACTGGGAAGGTAGAGACAAGAGGAACACAAAGGATCCCAAATATCATTTGATGGCCAAAGACATAATTGGCCGGCAAGATTAGCCAATCTATGAGCATTTGTTTCAGTTAGAGGTTCTGTCTCAGTAAAGTAAGGTAGAGAGCAATGTAGGGTGACACCAGATGTGGACCTCTTTTACCACAAATGCACATACTATTACACAGGAATCCACTACCCCCCCAACACACACAACTACTAAATAAGATAAATTGTGTGTAGTTATTTCATTGTGATTTTTGTTGCCTTTGTTGTTTTGTCTTCCCTTTATTTGTTTGAGAAATTCATAAGTGCATATGTATCTACCCCCATTCTCTTGATCCCAGTTCCTCTCCTTCCTCCCCCACAATTGTTCCCTCCCAATTTCATGTGTTCTTTGTTTTTAAACCTACTACTAGAGTCCACTTTGTGCTTTCAGTGTGTGTATGGGAGTGGATCCATCCATTGGAGCATGGGAAGCCTCCCAGGATCTGAATCCCTGAGGAAAATTGACACTCCCTCTCCCAGAAACCCATCAATTGCTAATAGTTCTTCAGATAGGAGTGAACTTCACGAGATCCTCTGCCAGGCATGCTCGGATTTTCAACTGACTTGTTTTTTGGCAGGTCTTGTGCATGCAGTCACACTTACTATGAGTTCATGTGTGCAGTATCCATTGATTTCCGGTAGCTATTCATTTAGAAGTGGGGCCCTGTGAAATTCCCCTCATTCACACTGGCAGTTCAACAGGTTTTGTCGTAATACAGGACTTGCTAGGCTGCCTCACTGTGTAAATTCATGGGTTCGGGTTCCCAATAATTTCTCAGATTCATTATCTAGCAACAGGTTTCTTGGTCCTCTGGTTCTGACAATCTTTCTATGCCCTCTCCCATAATATTCTGAGCCTTATGTATAGAGGCTGCATTAGATGTGCCAGTGCTGTGCCTTCCCTCCCACAATCAATTAGTCTCTGCATTTTGACTGATTGTGGGACTGTGTAATAATCCCTGCATTTACTGCCAAAAAAGAAAAGAAAAAAAGCATCCCTGATGAGTGGTGAGAACAACACTTGTCTGTGAATATGAGGATATGTATGTAGAAAACATTAAGGTCCTTCACTAGGGTCCTGGACCTCTCAGACAACCATGTGTACTTGGCTATGTTTACATTACAATGCATGGATTCCCTCCTACTGAGCCTCACTTAAGTCCAATTATGCCTGTTGATTAACACCAAGATACAAGTGCCTCTATCACACCAATAGAGAAAATTTGCTGGACCTGTCATCAATATACCATGCAGATACAAGAAGTGCACAAAATATCAAATAGATAGGACCAGAAAAGAAACTCCCTGTTCCATATCATAGTAAACACTCTAAATATACAGAGCAAAGTCAAGAAATTAAAATCTGTAAGCTAAAAACTACAAGTCACATGTGAAGAAAAATCCATCAGAATAGCAGGTAACTTCAGCAGAAACTTTAAAAGCCAGAGAAGCCTGGAGCAGTATTCCAAGTTCTAAATGATCACAGATGCCTATGCAGACTATTTTAGTCAGAAAAACTATCTACCATAGTTCAAGGAAAAAATAAAAACTTCCCATGACATAAACAGGATGAAACAGTTCATATCTGTCAGACCAGCCCTAAGAGAGCACAGAAATCAGTACAGGGTTGAAGAGGGAGTGACCGGACCCAAGAGGCTGTGAAAAGAAAACAAATGGAGTTATAACCACAGAAACAAAACACTGGATAAGAACACAAAAAATAAAATGATGGTAACTAACACACATCTTTCAACAATAACTTTAAACATCAATGGTTTCACCCCCTCAAACAAAAGACAGTATCTTATTCAGTGTATGTTAATCAATTTTGGGTTTCTAAATTAACTGCCATCTACTGCAAAAAGAAGTGTCTCTGATAAGGACTGAGAGAAGCACTAATCTATGGAAATAAAAATGCACCTTAGGAGTCAGCTCCCCAATATGTCCATTTATCAGAGTAATAATAGTAGGTCCTTTCTCTAGATCCTATGGAACCAACAAAGCATTGGGTTCTTACCACACCCCCTCCACACACACACACCAACAGTGTAGAAACAGGCAGATCCTTGGGAGCCTGCTGACTAGCCAGCCTAGCAATAAAATTGGTAATCTTCTGGCAGAACTTCTCTCAAAACAGTAAGGAAAATAAAGGTAGAGGAAAACACCTGGAATCCTGCTCTGGATTCCAAATGCCTGCAGTTTGGTAGGTGCACACACATACTAATGTGCATGAGACGCTTAAACACATACACACTCAATGCATATGCGAGTTGTTAGATGAAAAATTAGAAAATAATGCTTCAACTTAAGGACACATAAAGGACTTTCTGAACAGAACCCCCTGTAGCACAGACATGAAGATCAATAATTGACTAAAAGAACTTCATGAGACTAAAAAGCTTCTTTACAGCAAAGGATACCATCAATCACATGAAGAATCAATCTATAGAATGAGGAAAAAAGTCTTTGCTGGCTATATTTCTGGCAGAGAGTTAGTGTCTAAAATATAAAAAAGGATTGCAAAACCTACAAGCCAAGAAAACAAAGAACCCATTGAAAACTTGTGACAGCAATAGAGAGTTAGTAAATGAAGAAATATAAAAGGCAGAGTATTTTTTAATGTTCAATATTTTTTGCTATCAGGTAAATTGAATTAAAACTATGTTGATGCTTCATGTTATCACAGACTGATTAACAAACCAAATGACAATAGATGCTGGCATGGATGTGGAGAAAGGTAGCACTAAAGGGAGCATTGATCCAGTGTTAGTTAGATGTAAACTGGTGCAGCTTCTAAAAACCTGATATTGGGGCTGGAGACAAGGCTCAGCAGTTAAGAACATTGGCTGCTCTTGCAGAGGACCTGGGTTGGGTACCCAGGATCCACATGGTGACTTACAACCATCTGTTAACTCCAGTTACAGGGGATATGATGCCCTTGTCTGACCTTCCTGGGCATTGCACGACATGGGTGCACTTACATACATGCAGGCAATACACTTACACACATAAACGAAAGAATAATAAAAATAAATTTTTTTACATGTACTGGGACACAAAACACACCTCAACAAATACAAAATGATTGAAATAATCCCATGCATTCTATCAGAGCACAATGCAGTAAGCTTAAAATCAACACTGGAAGAAACCCCAGTAACCACATGAACACAAGGAGATTAAACAGACTCTTGAATGATGAATGGGTCAAAGGAGAAATTAAGAAAGAAATAAAAGTATTCCTGGAACTAAATGAAAAGGACAACACAACACAATAAAACCTCTGGGACACATGAAAGCAGTCTTTAGAGGGAAGTTTACAGCTCTAAGTGCCTACATTAAAATATCAGAAAGAACACAAGTATCATTGCAACTTAAGACACTTGAAAAGCAACATCAAATGAAACCCAAATCCAGCAGACAAGAAGAAATAACAAAACTCAGAGCAGACATTAATGAAGTAGAAACAAAGAAAATAATGCAAAGAATCAACGAATCTAAAAGCTGGTTCTTTGAGAAGATAAACAAGATTGATAGACTGCTAGCCCATTTGACAAAAGAAAGAGCACCACCAAATCAACAAAATCAGAGATGAAAGAGGAAATATCACATCAGACACCAAAGAAATGCAGAACATTATAAGGGAATACTTTAAAAACCTATATGCTACTAAATTTGAAAACCTAAAAGAAATGGATGGGTACCTAAAAGCATGAGAACCACCAAAACTAAACCAAGAAGAGATCAACAGCTTAAACAGACCCATAAGACATAAGTAAATTGAAACAGTAATACAAAAACTCCCTACTAAAAAAAAGCCCAGGGCCAGATGGATTTACAGCAGAATTAAATCAGATATTTAAAGAGGATCTGCATCCAATACTTCTTAAGTTATTCAAAAAGATAGAAATGGAGGGAAAATGTCCAAATTCCTTCTATGAAGCCAGCATCACTCTAATACCAAAGCCAGGTAAAGATACAACCATAAAAGAAAATTATAGGCCCATATCCTTAACAAACATAGATGCAAAAATTCACAACAACATACTTGCAAACCACATACAGATG